CATACCAGAATTAATTTAAAACTAAATCAGAATTAATTTAAAACATACCAGAATTAATTTAAAACACAATCAGAATTAATTTAAAACATACCAGAATTAATTTAAAACACAATCAGAATTAATTTAAAACAAAATCAGAATTAATTTAAAACAAAATCAGAATTAATTTAAAACAAAATCAGAATTAATTTAAAACAAAATCAGAATTAATTTAAAACAAAATCAGAATTAATTTAAAACAAAATCAGAATTAATTAAAAACAAAATCAGAATTAATTTAAAACAAAATCAGAATTAATTTTTAAAAAATCAGAATTAATTTAAAACAAAATCAGAATTAATTTAAAACATACCAGAATTAATTTAAAACACAATCAGAATTAATTTAAAACAAAATCAGAATTAATTTAAAACAAAATCAGAATTAATTTAAAACAAAATCAGAATTAATTTAAAACAAAATCAGAATTAATTTAAAACAAAACACAAATTTATAGAAACATGAAGACAAGCTTTAAACGCTACTTATATATGTTTTCAATTATAATACCTGTAGTTTTGCTTTATAATTTGATTTTTATCACCGCTATATATGATGGAGGGATTAAACAATTTGACGAATTGAACAAAACTTTGCCTTTTGGTTCTATTAAAGTAAAGGTATCAGAATTATTTTATTGGTGGTTTTCGGTCCCCCATTATTCACAGTTCCTGTTAATTCTCCAAAAACTCTGGGTTATCGAGTTCTATTCAGTTAACTGTTTAACAAACTACTTCCAATGTAATTTATTTTTAAATGAAAGGATTTTCCACCATTAATTGTAACTGTTATTACAATACTTCCGTTTATTATAATTTTCATTTGTGGCTATAAAATGGTTCATTATGTTAATTTACATAGTGGATTTAGTCAAAATATGAAGAGATTGCTTAAACAATTGACAATAACACTGATAATTCTGGTATATAAAATTTATTGGGTATTTGTGTAGTTTACGCCCCATAAGCTCCGCCTCTTCTCTCTTTCATTGTTTTAAGACTTATTTTCTGAAATAAAATGAAAATATCGGCCCAACGGTCACTTTTTACAAACTGGAGAGAGAAGAAAAATGGGCGTGGCTTATGGGGTGTAAACTACACTAGTACATTTTATTTAATTTTATTTTAAATTTTCAGGTAATTATTCCATTTATTAATCAATTATTAAGTATATTATCTGTGCTCATTACACTAAATAAAAAAAATGATTCAGCCAAAGATAATGATATAAATCCGATTTATATATTTCTTGCAATTTTCACTCATTTTACACCTGTTTTTAACCCAATTGTTTGTATAATAACTAATAAGCCATACAAAGAAGCTGTTTGTAATCGTTTAAGGATACATCCACAATGATTTATGTATTTTACGTTATTGTAGTTAATTATGTATAAAGATATTATGATCCAATTTTATATTTTTAAACACACCCTTTTGTACTGGGGGCAATGAGTGATATGGACAGTAGGTAATTTGGGCAGTAAACTTTTTTAAAAACCTAGAAAAAATAATTTTGAGTGATTTGGGCAGTAACTTATATTTTTTAAAATTGAAAATAGCAGGGTATCCCGCCAATGTGTCCGTTTTCTCTTACATTTGTCCCTGTTTCCCCTCCATATAACCTTTTTGTGGTTGATTTAATTACACCAAAAAAACTAAATTTATTTAAAAATTTTATATAAACTTTATGACTATCGTTGGTAGGTAACCGGGAAATGAAAAAGTTGAAAAGTGGGAATGGAACAAAAATATAAAAAATAGAATCGGTAAATACATGGCTAAGAAATAATTTTTTTAAATATAGGTAATTAAAGTTAAGGCGTTTAATTATTCCATTTGTTTAATTAAACCGAATAAATAAAATCAGAATTAATTTAAAACATTGTTGGAATGATTAAAACCAGAATTATTAATGTTTTAAAATAATTCTGATTTTTATTTAATATTTTTAATCAGAACTAATTTCAAACAAATTTTTATAAAAATCAGAATTATTTTAAAACATTATTAATAATTCTGGTTTTTATTTAAACTTGGCTTTTCTAATCAGAATTAAATTAAAACATTTATTTTAATATTTTTCTTAATTCTGATTTTTCTCCCTCTCCCAAAGTAGCCAAATGGAAGAGGCTCGAGCTTATAAAACAGTGAATTGCTTATCAAGTAACTTAAAATTTTGCAATAGTAACTCTTGTGTTTTTTAACTAAGTTCTCCAAAAATTTCAGAATTTTTGAGCGAAAAATGCCTGATTTTTGGAGGTTTATTGACTATAACTTTAAAAATATTTGATCCAAAATTCTGAAATTTCTGGAGAAGGTAGTCTAGGATGTTAAATTAGAAAAAATTTTCATGAATTTAGGCTTAGGCTGAAGTCAGTTTTAAGTCTCGCGCCAGCGACCTCAACCCAAATGGAATAATTTTTTAAAACAATTTAACTAAAAATTAATCGTCTTCTATTTCCCATCAAAATAATTACTTAAATATTCCCCCTCTTCAAATTGACACCAAGTCTCATCCATTTGTTCTTGAATATAATGCATTGGATACAACATACAAAAACCTCCAAAAAATATAAGACCAAGACACCAAAAAATAAACCGGCAACATCCTAGACGACAACAAAGGCCAATTTGTTGACAGAAACTTTTAAAAAAGAATTTAATTATAAAAATAAATTTTAAAAAATCAGAATATTTTAAAAACATTACTTATACTTAAAGGATTAAATAAATAAAACCAGAATTTATTTAAAACATGACTAAAATAAAAACCAGAATTAAATTAAAACATTGTTTAAATAAAAATCAGAATTAATTTAAATAAATTTTTAAACTAATTCTGGTTTTAATTTTAATAATGTTTTAAACAAATTCTGGTTTTTATAAACTTGTTTTAATAAAATTCTGATTTTAAAAAATGTTTTAGGTTAAAACAAGTTTTAAATAAAAACCAGAATTAGTTCAAAACATTAAAAATAAAAATCAGAATTTCCTTAAAAACATTCCTAACAAAAGTCAGAATTAAATTAAAACATTATCTTATTGTTAGTTAAAACCAGAATTGTTTACGAACAATCTGAATAAAAATCAGAATTTGTTCAAAACATTATAAAATAAAAATCAGAATTAAATTAAAACATTATCTAAGTTAAAACCAGAATTAGTTCAAAACATTATAAAAACCAGAATTTCCTTAAAACATTCCTAACAAAAACCAGAATTAAATTAAAACATGAACTAACAACAAGTTAAAATCAGAATTGTTTCAATTTTAATAAAATCAGAATTTAATCAAAACATTATTTAAAGCATCCAATAAAATGTTTTTAGATAAAAGAACATTTTTCTACCTCAAAATAGTTAATAACCAAAAGAACCCAACATCAATTAATAAAGTAAAACCAAAGACCATTAAAATATCTGGACTGTCGTAAACAGAATCTCTTGGAGGAGCCAGGTATCTAGGCAAAAACATTTTGTGAACATTCCCCACCATTACAGCAAAAGAAGTTGTTAGACGGCAATAAGTTAGTAATAAATCAACTGAATCCGCAAAATTTTTGCGTCTTAAAATTAAAAAAAAATATTATTTTTAATTTTTTTTATTAAAAATTTTTTTAATATTCGTAAAAACTGAAAAAAAAATCCCAAACAAAAAATTTAATTTTTTTCTCCAATTTTTCTTGGTGGTAGGACATTTGCGGACATAAAATTTTTTAAAAAAGTCCGCAAGCGTACAATTTTTTGTTTCTAAGATATATGTATTTTTGTCATATAAATATGACGATTTTTTAAAAATTTGAAAAAATTTTAAAAGAAAACCTAACAAAAATCAAAATAGAATTTTAATTTTTGAGCTCCAAAAATATCCCAAAAAAGGCTTAAAAGTCATTTCTCCAAAAAATTTTTTTTGAAGAATTTTAATTTAAAACCTTCTCTCAATTTTTGCCTTTTCCCTTAGCAAAGCCAGCTCTGCTCGTTTTTTCTCTTTTCGTTCTTGCTTGGCTAACAATTTTTCAGACTTTTCTTTGTCCCGTTCTTGAAGACGTTTTGCTTCTATAAAATCTTTCTAAAAATTTTTTTGACTAGAAAAAACCTTCAATTTTCTCTGTCCGCTTTTGTGAATCACTTTTTTTGGTTAAAAATGAAGGGATTAATTTTTTCAGTCCAGTTCGTTCAGCTGTTGGAGGCTCTCGATGAGTGATCAAAACTTGAAAAAATAATTTTGGGAGTTAAACAACTAAAAAACTTATTTTCGAAAATCAAAAATTTCTCAAAAAAAATAAAATAGTATTAAAATTTTAAAAAAGATTCACTATATTTTAGCCCAGAAAAATAATTTTTTGAAATTTTTAAAAATTATCAACCTTCTAATTGGTCTTGTTTACTCTTTCCTGCTTTTTGACGATCTAAGCGAATATTTGGCATAGCCTGTTCTTCATTTTCAAGCAATTTAGGGTATAATGTAGGTCTTCCAGTTTCAATATTTCCTTCTTCTTCACTAGAGGAAGAATCGTCCGCCTAGAAAATTTTTATCAAGAATTTTTTAAGAACATAATTTCATAGTCCATCCCATAGAACCTATTGCGGATATCCCACCTTTAATAAAATTCGAGGAATATCTGTCTTTGACTTTTTGTGGCCCGGCTCTGGGTTTTTTTTTCAAGTCTTAACTCTGGCTCTGGTTTTTTTGAAATCCTCGCTCAGACTCTTGTCATCTTAAAATCTTACAATTAGCCTCTGTTCCTATTTGACACAGGTAAATTTTGCTAGCTATTCTAAAGTTAGATCCACAGGGATATACATTGTCGAGACTTGTTACAAATAAATTATTCTAAGTTAGTCTTATTAAATTCATTGTATTTTTCATATTTTTCTCTAAATGTAATAAAAAATATGAAGCAAATAAAAAATTAGATTTTTATAAATTACTCCGTAAATATTGTCCGCAACAATTTTTAAATCCGCAAAAAAATTTTTAAGGTGGTAAAAACCTTTTTATTTCCAGCTCTTCTGCTTTCTCTTTTTTCCCTTCTTAAAGTCTCAACTCGTTTCAATTCAACTTCAGCCTTGGTCTTCCCTTCATATTTATAAAATTGTTCATAAATTTCTTTAAAAGATTTGTCGGAATATTCTCCATATTTTGCCCGAATTAAGCGAATAAATACAATTAAATAATTTTCAGGCCTCAAAGCTGGGAAGCAAATACACAAAAATAAATGGAACCAAAACCAAAAAATATCATAGGATTTCCATAAAGTAAAGAAAATACAATTGACATAAATTGCTGTTAACCTTCGGGGAAATTTTAAAAATTCAAGAAAAAAAATTTTTTTAAGAAACCAGTTAAAATGAGCAATAGATGCAAGTATAAGACGAAAACAAAACCAAAATTTGAAGCTAAACCAGCCCATGAAGGCAAATTAATGTAGTGAATTTTAGATTAACATGCTTTAAAATTAGAGGGGGAATGATAGAGAAAAATTAGAAAATGAAGAAAAAATTTTTTTTAATTAAAAAGCAGTCGGGATAAAGAATGGATACCAAAACAAGGTTAACAAGGTGTCCATTGGCAAATGATTGAAAATCTAATGGAGTAGAAGTCTTTTTTTTCTTTCATTATCTTTTCTTTCATTTCTTTTTAAGCGATTATATGGGCTGCTTTCGATTCGTCCCCTCTAAATTCGTCCCAATGAACTCAAACCTCCACTCATCCCACTTAACAAAACCCCCAACTCGTCCCGACTCAAAATGTCCAACAGAGTAAAAAATGGGGGTTATCTTACTCAAAATTAAACTGTTGTTGGAAACACCATTAAAAATAAATTTTTAAAAAAGAACTTGACATCTAAAAAAAATCTCATCAAACCATCTACATTTTTCAAATTGATTTGGATTTGTCTCAAAAAAAACAATGTCTCCAAATCAAATTGATTTGGAGGTTCGCTCGCATCGATGAATATCCCTGATCAGTATTTATCGTTATCGGTATTTTCCCGTATTATAGTATGGAATAAGGTATTCAGGTTTATAATTTAGGGCAATTAATTATCCATTTATTCAACTAACAACAAGTATTAATTTAAACAGGGTTGCCAGATGTACTTATTTTGGAAGTACAGTACTTACAAATCGACCCTTGTACTTCCAAAATTAAACACGGATTTATTTGTAAGTACGTACTTACAAATAGACTTTTTGGTTAAAATATTAAATTTAACCTTAAAATTTCCAAAACTTTCGCCTGCGGCGCAAAAAATGGAAGAAATCTGCCTAAAGACCTCCAAAATTCTCAAAATTTTCGCCTGCGACGCTTATAAAACTCATTTGGATAAGAATATCAAATATTTAAGTTAAAATAAATTTTTTAGATTGTATTTTTGGAGCGTACTTATATTTTGAAAATTTATTCCCCTAAGTACTTCCAAATTGAACTTTTTGTACCTTCACTTAACATTTTCCAGATGGCAGCCCTGATTTAAAACATTGTTGAAATGATTAAATAAAATCAGAAATAATTTAAAAAATCAGTATTAATTAATCAGAATTAATTAAAAAAGGATTTGTTTTATTAAGAAAATCAAAAAAATTATTTAAAGATTTCCCTTCTTTAAAATGACACAAAGTCTCATCTACCAGGTCATATTGAAGAAAAAGCATTGGATAAAACATAAAATAACTCCCAATAATTCCAAGAAAATAACTCCACAAGGTAAAATAGCAACAACCAAGACGACAACAAAGTCGTATGTGTTGATAATATCTTTTTTAAATAAATTTGATTTAATTGATAAACATTTTTGAATAAAATATGTTACTGTAAGGTATATCCGTTGATTGCCTAAGCAAAGGTGATCTTTTGGGCGAGCATTATGCATTAATGGATTTTCCCAACCATTACATTATATTTATTATTCAGCAGAGCAGAATTCTGATACAAAATTGTGTTTTGGATATTTTTGTATTAACATCTCAAATGTTTTTACAAATGGTAAAAATTTTTTAAAATCAGAAAAATCCTAATTAAATTTACACTTTAAGATTTTTCTAAATGACAGCAATGGAAATTCAATTTTTATTTTTACTAATGGGATTTTCTTTGAATCTATGAAAAATAATTTTAACAAAATTATTTACCAAAGTTATTTATTTGTCGTACAGACTTTCTATATTGTAAATTTGTATGGATTGTGTGTCCAATTTGTTTATAGATATTTAGTTCTGAACAGGTAAAGAACAAAACAAAATCAGAATTAATTTAAAACAAAATCAGAATTAATTTAAAACAAAATCAGAATTAATTTTTAAAAAATCAGAATTAATTTAAAACAAAATCAGAATTAATTTAAAACAAAATCAGAATTAATTTAAAACAAAATCAGAATTAATTTAAAACAAAATCAGAATTAATTTAAAACAAAATCAGAATTAATTAAAAACAAAATCAGAATTAATTTAAAACAAAATCAGAATTAATTTTAAAAAAAATCAGAATTAATTTTTAAAAAATCAGAATTAATTTAAAACAAAATCAGAATTAATTTAAAACAAAATCAGAATTAATTTAAAACAAAATCAGAATTAATTTAAAACAAAATCAGAATTAATTTAAAACAAAATCAGAATTAATTAAAAACAAAATCAGAATTAATTTAAAACAAAATCAGAATTAATTTTTAAAAAATCAGAATTAATTTAAAACAAAATCAGAATTAATTTAAAACATACCAGAATTAATTTAAAACTAAATCAGAATTAATTTAAAACATACCAGAATTAATTTAAAACACAATCAGAATTAATTTAAAACAAAATCAGAATTAATTTAAAACAAAATCAGAATTAATTTAAAACAAAATCAGAATTAATTAAAAACAAAATCAGAATTAATTTAAAACAAAATCAGAATTAATTTAAAAAAAAATCAGAATTAATTTTTAAAAAATCAGAATTAATTTAAAACAAAATCAGAATTAATTTAAAACAAAATCAGAATTAATTTAAAACAAAATCAGAATTAATTTAAAACAAAATCAGAATTAATTTAAAACAAAATCAGAATTAATTAAAAACAAAATCAGAATTAATTTAAAACAAAATCAGAATTAATTTTTAAAAAATCAGAATTAATTTAAAACAAAATCAGAATTAATTTAAAACATACCAGAATTAATTTAAAACTAAATCAGAATTAATTTAAAACATACCAGAATTAATTTAAAACACAATCAGAATTAATTTAAAACAAAATCAGAATTAATTTAAAACAAAATCAGAATTAATTTAAAACAAAATCAGAATTAATTTAAAACAAAATCAGAATTAATTTAAAACAAAATCAGAATTAATTTAAAACAAAATCAGAATTAATTAAAAACAAAATCAGAATTAATTTAAAACAAAATCAGAATTAATTTTTAAAAAATCAGAATTAATTTAAAACAAAATCAGAATTAATTTAAAACAAAATCAGAATTAATTAAAAACAAAATCAGAATTAATTTAAAACAAAATCAGAATTAATTTTAAAAAAAATCAGAATTAATTTTTAAAAAATCAGAATTAATTTAAAACAAAATCAGAATTAATTTAAAACAAAATCAGAATTAATTTAAAACAAAATCAGAATTAATTTAAAACAAAATCAGAATTAATTTAAAACAAAATCAGAATTAATTAAAAACAAAATCAGAATTAATTTAAAACAAAATCAGAATTAATTTTTAAAAAATCAGAATTAATTTAAAACAAAATCAGAATTAATTTAAAACATACCAGAATTAATTTAAAACTAAATCAGAATTAATTTAAAACAAAATCAGAATTAATTTTAAAAAAAATCAGAATTAATTTTTAAAAAATCAGAATTAATTTAAAACAAAATCAGAATTAATTTAAAACAAAATCAGAATTAATTTAAAACAAAATCAGAATTAATTTAAAACAAAATCAGAATTAATTTAAAACAAAATCAGAATTAATTTAAAACAAAATCAGAATTAATTTAAAACATACCAGAATTAATTTAAAACTAAATCAGAATTAATTTAAAACATACCAGAATTAATTTAAAACACAATCAGAATTAATTTAAAACAAAATCAGAATTAATTTAAAACAAAATCAGAATTAATTTAAAACAAAATCAGAATTAATTAAAAACAAAATCAGAATTAATTTAAAACAAAATCAGAATTAATTTAAAAAAAAATCAGAATTAATTTTTAAAAAATCAGAATTAATTTAAAACAAAATCAGAATTAATTTAAAACAAAATCAGAATTAATTTAAAACAAAATCAGAATTAATTTAAAACAAAATCAGAATTAATTTAAAACAAAATCAGAATTAATTAAAAACAAAATCAGAATTAATTTAAAACAAAATCAGAATTAATTTTTAAAAAATCAGAATTAATTTAAAACAAAATCAGAATTAATTTAAAACATACCAGAATTAATTTAAAACTAAATCAGAATTAATTTAAAACATACCAGAATTAATTTAAAACACAATCAGAATTAATTTAAAACATACCAGAATTAATTTAAAACACAATCAGAATTAATTTAAAACAAAATCAGAATTAATTTAAAACAAAATCAGAATTAATTTAAAACAAAATCAGAATTAATTTAAAACAAAATCAGAATTAATTTAAAACAAAATCAGAATTAATTTAAAACAAAATCAGAATTAATTAAAAACAAAATCAGAATTAATTTAAAACAAAATCAGAATTAATTTTTAAAAAATCAGAATTAATTTAAAACAAAATCAGAATTAATTTAAAACATACCAGAATTAATTTAAAACACAATCAGAATTAATTTAAAACAAAATCAGAATTAATTTAAAACAAAATCAGAATTAATTTAAAACAAAATCAGAATTAATTTAAAACAAAATCAGAATTAATTTAAAACAAAACACAAATTTATAGAAACATGAAGACAAGCTTTAAACGCTACTTATATATGTTTTCAATTATAATACCTGTAGTTTTGCTTTATAATTTGATTTTTATCACCGCTATATATGATGGAGGGATTAAACAATTTGACGAATTGAACAAAACTTTGCCTTTTGGTTCTATTAAAGTAAAGGTATCAGAATTATTTTATTGGTGGTTTTCGGTCCCCCATTATTCACAGTTCCTGTTAATTCTCCAAAAACTCTGGGTTATCGAGTTCTATTCAGTTAACTGTTTAACAAACTACTTCCAATGTAATTTATTTTTAAATGAAAGGATTTTCCACCATTAATTGTAACTGTTATTACAATACTTCCGTTTATTATAATTTTCATTTGTGGCTATAAAATGGTTCATTATGTTAATTTACATAGTGGATTTAGTCAAAATATGAAGAGATTGCTTAAACAATTGACAATAACACTGATAATTCTGGTATAT